GCAGGTGTGTTGAGGCAAGTTGGAGCTAAACTCCGAGGACACCGGCCCTCCAGGACCGAGTTTGGGCACCCCTGATCTAAACAAACGAAATGACAGCTAATTTGCTCCTTTTTAAAATTAAAATAATATTGATATTCAAAATAAGTGATCAAATAATCTTCAATGACTTTAATAATCAAAATAATCTTTATTTAATTTCTAGAAGAATCAGTAATAGCCATTTACTGTTGGCTTTAAATTGATTTTTTGTAAATCTTTGAATAAAATTTGCCACTTGCACATTATGTTGTATATGATAGGGAACAGTGGGGCTAAAGCCACTGAGCGCTTTCCAAAACACCTGGAGTACTTCACCACCAGATAGCTTTTTGTGAGAATAAATGGATTTGTTGTGATGGAAGTGCAAAGTCAGCCATGTCTAACAGTCTCTGTTAGGTTCTCTTTGAAATATATAAGATATACACTAACAAATAAAAATAATATAACTGATAAAATATGAAATGACAAAATAGTTGAAATTAACTTGGAAAAGGAACACAATGATTACAGATGGGCGCAGTTTTAGGATATTATAATAATTGCTTTTGCTGTACTTTGGATCAAATAAATGCAGGCTTGGTGAGCAGAAGAGACTTCTTTAAAAAAACAGTAAAAATCTTACAGTTCAAAATCTTGGTAGTGTATAAATAAATTATTTTTCAAATATACGTTTAGTGTATATTTAATAAAACTGCTTTGTAGGGGCATGTGGAAGGTGTAATGTGTGAAGCGTTTGTGATTGCGCAGAGCTTCCTGGCGTGGAGAATATGAGCTGGTCGGTGCGTGATGAAAAGCCGGAGCCGGAGCTGCAGGTGAAGTGGACTGCTGTCCTGCCTCTTCATCACACCTTACATCTCTTCGAATACCTGCTGGAGTGGGTGAAAATCCCCCAGGCTGTGCATCAAACAGAGCTGCAGGCCGACTGGCAGAGAGTCCCTAACAATGTCACCATCACCACACTAAATGGTACCAGCTCTCTATTTTCTGAAGCTCTGACTAATACGCTGGCCCCACGTGGAAACTGTGCATGTTTATTTACTAGTGCTGTCAAAATTAGCGCGTTAACGCAGATGATTAAGTTTTCCAGTTTAACGGCGTTAAAAATAATTAACGCAGAGGCGGGGCCAGGGTTGGCAATTACATTTTGTGTGTAGAAGTTATAATGTATACTCAGTGTTGGGTGTAATGCATTACTAAGTAATTAATTAATGAAATTGAATTACTTTTTCCTTGAAAAATAAAGTAAGGGATTACTTTAAATTTTTCTGTCATTTAATTACAGTTACTTCTGATGTAATTATTGACTATAAAACAATTCTATATAAAAACAATAGCCTAGTAGATTAAACATCGAAGTTAAAATGTACTGTATGTTTCTAATGTAACCTCCCTCTAAATTCTCTGGTCAGTTCAAGAATAATTTATACAATTTTGCATTGTTTATTTGAAAGAATTAAAAGAGTAGTTTTATGTCTATCCTCGTATTGTTCAACTGGTTGAGGTTGACATGGGATTTAGAAAGCTTTAAATGCATCTTAGAGAGAATAATAAGTGCTGTAATCTAATTACACTGTTGAAGATGTAATTAGTAGCTAGTAATTACTTACTTTTTTAGAGTAATTTACCCAACACTGTCAGTAAACAACTTGTTTAGTATGTATTAGGCATGTTGCGTACATCTGTAGCAGGTAAGTATTGCATGTTCATTTTGCAGGCTTGACATCAAAAGCAAAGGAAAGGAAGCACTGCAAGTTTTGCAGTCTGTTTTTGGCTCAATGCTAAAGATTAAAATATAACATTTAAAAAAATATACGTTTTCAGAATATAATCCTATTGGCCCAGTGCCAAAAGGTAATATAGTTTTTCAAATAATTTATAATAGTTACCAAAGCAAAGTCACAGGTCTGCTATAGAAGCTGTGAAAATGTGAAACGGATGTCTGCTGTTGCTGCAGTTTCATTGTGAAACAAAACGTTTTGGGAGAAATGCAGGTGACCAGATGTCTTTCCCTCTTTCCCCAGCTGATTTGGAGAAATTCAAGCGGTACAACATATCAGTGTATCCAATTTACAAGTATTATTCAGGACACATGTGGCACTTCCAAGCAGGACGTCCAGTAACCAGACCAGCCTACATTCAACAAGGAAGTATGCATCTGAAGTCTAATGCAATTTTCTCATGTACTGAAGCACACTCATATATAGGCCTGTCACGATAACAACATTTTGCTGTGCGATATATTGCCCCAGAAATAATTGCGATAAGCAATTTTATTGTCATTTTAAGACCATTTTATGCCACTTCATGTATAATCATAATATAACAGCATAGTAATGCGAGAAGGCCTACACACTTCCAAACTTTACATTTTTAAGAATATTTAGATCATGGAAATTAAGTATCAAAATATTAGATACCTTAAAAAACTTGAATAAATAGTAAATAAACATTTTATAAAAAAAGTGGAAAGTAACAAGTAGAAAAAAGAAAAACGCACTAAGAACTTGTATGGAGATTTTTCCATTGACAGATTTTTTTCCCTGACCTTCTTTTCTCTGTAAATTAAGGGTGCACACTATTGCTCAAAAACACAACCCCTAAATCCCTACTTAGCAGTCAGATGTACACATGCACAAAGGCACAGATCCCTAAACAAGACCATATCACACGGTGCTGCTTTCATGGCTAGAAGAGTATGTGGGGATTCAGGGGAAAGCTTTAAATTGGTTTAAGTCATATTTGACTGCTAGAAGCATGGCAGTAAGATTTGGCGCATATACATCAAACTTGACATCGCTTATATGTGGTGCGCCTCAAGGCTCTATTCTGGCCCCCACAGTTTTTTCACTGTATATTCTTCCGTTAGGAGACATCTTTAAGAAGTACAACATAGCATTTCACTGCTATGCGGATGACTTACAAGTATATTTACCATTAACAAATGGTAATAGATTAGAACACCTTATGCCGTGCCTCTTTGATCTAAAAACATGGCTAGCCTCTAATTTTTTATATCTCAATGAGAAAAAGACAGAGGTTGTGGTGTTCGGCCCCAGAGGAGACAGGGATGAAGTAGAGTTTAATTTTGGCCCATTGTCTTTGTATGTCAAAGAACACGTTTAAAAACTTGGGTGTTTGTATTGATAGCTCCCTGAAGTTGAACACTCCGATCAATCATGTGGCAAAATCAAGTTTTTTTCATTTGAGAAATCTGGCCAAGATTAAATCATGTCTGACATTTAAGAGTCTTGAAATTGAAATTCACGCTCTCATATCATCAAGACTTGATTACTGTAATTCATTATACAAGGGTATTAGTCAAGCATCTATCCTGCGGCTGCAGAAGGTTCAAAATGCTGCCGCAAGACTGTTAATGAATATTCAAAAACATGAACACATTACTCCGTCTTTGATTTCTCAACACTGGCTTCCGGTACAGTATAGGATTGATTTTAAGCTTCTTTGATTAGTGTATAAGTCTTTGCATGGCTTTGCACCTACTTATATATCAGAGCTGCTAATTGAGTATCAGAATGGAAGAACGTTGAGATCAACAATTAAAATTCCAAGGACTAAGTTGAGCCAGAAAGGGGATTGTGCGTTTGTGGCAGTAGCGCCAAGACTTTGGAATAGCTTACCTTTACATGTCAGAGACGCTGACTCTGTACATGTTTTCAAAGTACAGCTAAAGACATATTTGTTTGCCATGGCGTATTCTTCTTGTTGATAATTTTTGTATTATTATTGTTGTTGTTTTAGGTGATTTTTCTTTTCTTTATTTGATTTGTATATTGAGATGATGTAAAGCACATTGGTCAACATGTGTTGTTTTAATAGTGCTATATAAATAAAATTGACATTGACATTGACATATCTGCAGATGAAAGAGGCATTTTTTTAAATTTGAACTAGCACCTCATGATTACACCACGTTAAGTACGATAAACTGCAAAAGACACAGGCGCAAGTGGAATGCAAAAAAACATGGTGACATTCATTTTTATGTAAATATAATGGGCAATATATTGCGTCACCAAAAATGATCGAGGTCATGTACATATATTGTGCGATAAATCGATATATTGATTATTGCAACAGGCCTATTCGTATAACAGTTGTTGTTGTTTATCTAGCTCCAGAAGAGGGTCCTACTGTCACAGTGACTAAATCCAAGAAGAACAGTGCCGAGCTGACGTGGAAGGAGATCCCACTGGACAGACAGCGGGGATTCATCACCAACTACACCATATTCTATGAGATCGGGAACACTAAGCAATGCAAATGTATGTTCAACGCGTGATGCATGTGTGATGTGTGAGGCTTCACAAGCTGATCTGTGTCGAATGTGTTTGGCAGCTGTGATGGTGGGCCCTAATGTCCATACATACGTGCTGATGGATCTGGCCAGCGAAACTGATTACGTGGTTAACGTCGAGGCGTCAACAGAAGCAGGATCTGTCAAAGGCACGGGTTGTACTTTCAAAACTATGAAGTACGGTAAGTCTTTTATGCTCATTTTAATGTTCGTCTTAAATGCTCGATGATGCATTGTGATTTTAACAAGAAGCCATCACGTACGTTGAGCTGCTTAAGCGGCTGGAGGATGTGACTTGTGCTGATGCTCTCTTGACTGTAGGCGATGGAGAGGTGGAGGTGATTGTTGTGGTGGTTTGCCTCAGCTTCCTGTTCCTGACTGTCTTTATCATAATGCTCTGCCTTCGGAAAAGAGAAGTGTGAGTCACTGCTTTTCACCACTCAAAACGAAACACATAGCAAGAATTCAACTTTAAGTCACCTCTTCTGTTCACTTCAGAGAAGCATTGGTCTGCAAATGCTGGTACAAGATTGGCTAATAGAGCCTAGCCAGTCTTTGTAAACTATGTGTAATTGTGCACATTGTATACAATTTAGAAGTCCATTTAAAATAATTAATTAAACAAAATACAGTAAAAACTAGTCATGTTTTCTACTTCGATGCAGATTTTGTTCCATAAAACAACAGTTCACAGTGAACACATCTGTCAAGCTCCAAAACATAATTTTCTCCATAATGTTTTAGCAGAATGTTCATGCTGCTCTTTTCTCTTTAATGACAGTGAATGATAACCAGGTGCTGTTTGACATTCAAAATGAAGAAAGGCACCAAAATGCACCATAAAGCTAGTCTTATGAATTGTGCGAGAAAACAATTAAATTGAAGTTGACAGTTTCTCTGGCAAATCTTTTATTCTCATTCGTCTTTGTATATCTGGCAAGTATCACATCAGGTTTGATGACAGTAATGCCAAGCATAATTGATTCCTACTGTAGATGTAACTGATCACAATGCACCAAATATTATGTACATATTCAAATATGACTGAAAGCTATTCATCCCGTAGGTGTATACTTTAGTGCAAGACTCCTGCACACTAATTTTATGATACTTTTAATGCTACTTTTTGTCACTTCTTCACAGTTCCTGGTGGCCATTCAAAATATGGAAGGATTGTTGAAATATAGAAAATATAGAAGGAGCAAAATATAGGATTGTGAAACTAATGACATGCTCTTTTAATAACTTGCCCCAAATGAAAAGTGCATTAAAATCATTATGAATTTTTTACATTGCTTAATTTAATACAGAAACAGAAGTTATTGGTAATGTATTTTGAAGAGTAGATATATCACCTAACCCCACAGTGAATGGTGCTGTGTGGTGTTTACAGTCATTATTTTCTGGCCTCTCTTTTCAGGCTTAAGAAGCTGTTGTGGCCGCAGGTTCCAGACCCGTCTGACAGCTCCATTGCCCACTGGTCACCTGATTTCCCCATAAAGGTCAGTAAGGAATCCAAATCATGGGTGAATCACAAAACATGTCCAAAAAAATACTGAATTAATCTTAAAATTATTACGTTATCTTCAAGATTGTTTCATTATGAAGTTGTCCTGGCAGTATGCACATATAACCCAATAATTATAATATTATAATGAATAAATTATTTAATGAAGTTATTTTCATTTATATTAAGCACAAAGGCAGAGTACGACAACTTTTAGTTCTGTTTTACGATTTAAATATTGCTTTTTGTTGTTTGCTTAAAGGCACAATATGTAATTTTCGCCGCTAGAGGGTGCGTATTCAAAACAAACAAAGAGACAAAGGCGTAGTGTGATGACACCGTGACGGAGTGTGGAATCATGGGAGTTGTGGTCTTCTGCCCCACAGCTGATGCAATCCGACGGGACTCGGGCAGAAATCATGTTCATGGAT